CTCTGACATTTTTCTTTGGGGTTGGTTAAAGGAATCTATTATACCAAACCAAAACTTTGGAAGGACTTGAAGGGCTGGGGTGGACATGAGACAGAACCTGGGATGAGCACAACTGGTCGCGACTTGCCTTATCCCCGCCAAAAAAGAGCCTGTATTTGCTTAGCATGTAAAGCTACTGCAGTTGAAATGAGATAGAGAAAAAAAGCACTTACCGCTCTGCCGTAATCCATCCTCGGCCAGATAACGTAAAAGAATGAGGGGGGACTGGCATCGCATTTTTATGCAATAACGATGCAATGCATTATGGGACATGGACACAATGAATTATGGGATCAGGTGAAGATGCAAGGATTATGGGTATATGAACAACTATAAAAACAACTACTTTTTTTTCCGAGTCGGGAGTTCTTGAGGGACGTTCACGGTTGGCCAAGAACGGGCAGTTAGTGTGATTTGGAGACAGAACTCAGGAAGTAACGACTCAAGGTTGAAATACCAGCTGGGAGAGCTTGAATTTACTCGCTGGTTACTGTTTTCTTCATTCGCCTCAAGGGCAAATACAAGAAGTTATCTTCCATACCACCAGAGTTCCTGGTGAAATCAGTTGATGCAATTCCTGGGTGGCTCGAGAAGCTGGTAGTGAAATCTGGTGCCCATATCAAATTTCAAATAAAACCTTGTGCCAAACACTTACCTCTCATATCTATTTCTTGTAAAATTATAGTTAATAAATAAAATATAAGTATTTTAAAAAGGGAGTTTATTTTTCAATTACCCTGTACATTCCAGCTAACTTTAATTTTCAAAAATTTAAATGCAATGTCAATCACTATCTACTGTACTCTTCTTTTGTTCTTGCTCCTTAGTAATGTTTCTGTCTTCTAATTCTTCCACACCCAGTAGCCCCTTGTGTCTTAGTGGCTTTGCTGCCTTGTTTAAAAAATAATGTCATCTACCTAATAATATTATTTTGAAGTCAAACTAAGAGGAAGTAGCTTTCTCAAGAAAAATATAGCCTGCTGTAGGGAGTGTTAGGGATATACTAACAGTTTCTTTTCTTGCACTTCTCACTTGTGAAACTCCCTTCTGGCTCCATGCTTTCCAGCCAAATTTAATCTACAAAAATTTAAATGTAATGTCAATCATTATCTACTGTCCTCTTGGTTATTCTTCTTTTGTTCTTGATCTTTAGAAATGTTTCTGTTCCTAACTCTCCCACACCCAGTAACCCCTTGTGTCTCAGTGACTTTACTGCCTTGCATGGAGTGAAATAAATTAGAAGAGAAAATGTAAACACATCTCATGGGCACATTTACTCTTATTTATTTTGATAAGAGAATAAGTCTATTTTGGTTTATTTGGACTAAATTCCTTGTTTCGTTTTTTTTTGTTAGTCAAAATGTTTTGACCACTGCATCTGTTGGTCTTTTTCAGATGTTTGTTTTTATTTTGGAACATGAAATTCCATTCTGAGGTGGTATGGTGATTTTCTAAGTGTAGTTTACATGTAGCACAAGGCCGAAAGTATGGGGCACCCAGTGTGGATCAAACTCACTATTCAATCATAATTGTTCAAGCACAATTCTAGAACAATTATGAACAATGAAAAGTTTTCAGCCTGATCCAATTCTCAACATCTGATTGATCAAATGTTAAAATTTAAAAACAATCTTTTCTTGGTCAGACTGAGTACTTTTCAGCATGCTCTTGTATTTATACCTAAACATATCTTATTTTTAACTTGTATTTATCTACAGAGTCAATCATAGTTTAAGTTGTTTTTAATTTTAGGAGAAAGGCTTCTTGGTTAGTCAGAACTTTTCAATGTGCTCATATATATATATATATATATATATATATATATATATATATATATGCTGCCAATCTCTGATAATGACATAGAAATAAAAATTTTTATTTTATTTTTAAATTATTTTTATTTTCATTTTAAAGTTAAAAATCAAACATATTGAATGCTACTGTATTTTAATGTCATAATGTGTTTATTATAGAAATACTATTTTAAAAGAACTCTGTTACAGTAAAACAGTTGTGATAAAAAATCAAGTGAAATTAAAATGAAAGAAACTTTAATTAAAAAAAACAATTTTGATTAAAATTTCTTTCATTTTGATTTCACTTGTTTTCATTGCAATTGTTTGACTGTAATATTATGTAAATAAAAAAGATGATTACATATCAGACAAAAATAAGTAATAACAATACAGTTAGATATGAATGATTTCAGCTTGAAGATCTTCATGGCCTTATTGATAAAGCAGCTGTGGAAAAGAGTGTATAATTAAGTTTTGCTAGAGGCTTATTCTTCTGATTTGTGATGCTTAGTACTGACTACAGGATAAAAATCTAAGACTTGCAATAAAAAGCAACTGAAAAGATGAAAAATTGCAATAAAATTTACACTTCTTTAATTGCAAATTTATGCATATTTAATAAAAATATCTAATTTTCTAGAACTTCATAAAATATGTTATTTGTAAAAGAAGTTTTCTCCTTTGCCCCTCTTTTTTTTGTTTTAACATTTGCAATATCCTGGAAAAGCAACATAAATTATCCAAGACTAAATAGTTTTTGTGATAATTTTATTCCAAATGTCTCAAAAGTTTAGTCATGCAATAAGATAACTGCATATGTTCCATTCCAGTAACAGGAAGTACTTTAATTTTAGGGCAGATGTTTCTATCAAGTCTTAAATCTCTTCAGGATCTTGGGATACATTTTGAGGCTGAGTGTGCAAAAATTTGAATAAGAAATTGAAGGAAATTCCAAGTCCTAACTGAAGAAATACAGTAAATTTCTAGCATCTGCTTTTAATACAAAAATGTGGAACAGCTGCAAAAAATGTGCTGTCTTATTTTCAGCTTTTTGTTCTCTTGTGCAATTAATCCACATATTTCAGATAAAAAAAAATCATATAAAAATAAAGATTATTAATATAAAAATTATTGCTGTTTTTCAGCTCTCACTTGATTGGTTGAACTTAGCAATGACCTGTATGATAGAAGCAAACAATTGCATGCAATTTATATTTCAAAAAGTGAAAATGTGAACTTCTTTCTTGATGTGCCATATCCTTTCCCAGTATGGGTAATCACAGCTCTTCAAGGTTTCCTTTCATTTGTTGTGTTCAACAAAAATTTTTTAGGTTTCATGTTGAAACACTAGTTCCTGTATAATCACTGAAGTTAAGCAATATTGAGCCTATTCATTACCTAGATGGGGTGACTGCTTGGGAATACCAAGTGCTGGAAGTTTTGATGTGCGGGTGGTGTTATGGATAATGGCTCAGACTTGTTAATCAGAGAGCCAAATTTCAATTCCTGTTGGAGTTGTTATATTCACTTATGAGCAAATACTCTTTGGAAAAGTATGATCCACTTCTATCCCCAGCTATGGGTTAATTAGTAAAACTTAATTACTAAATCATTATTATCCAAAAAAAATTCTTACAATCTAAATCTAAAATATTTTCTGGCTTTAAATAACCTGCAATGGGTTGATAAGCTGTAGAAAATGAATGAATCGATACTTTCTTCTTTATAGCCCTTTTTTTTTCTTGTTCTTCCATTCATTTACTTTACTTGTCTTTGATAGGCTTGTCAGTGTTAAATTCTCCAAGCTTACTTTTCTTATTGCGTTCTAAAAATTTAATCTGTTTCTAATTGTTATTGACAGTTTCTTTGTAGTTCTTATTCTTATCACAACATCCTCATTTATTGCATGCTCTGTCCATAGTAATATCACCATTTATTGGTTGAATCCAACTTAGTTGCCTAAATATTTTTTCTTTTTTTTTTTCTTTTCATTTGTTATAAAAATTGTCCTGTTTTCATTGCCACACAATATGATAGATATTATGCAGCAGTCCAGTATTTTCTTTGTTTTGAATGTTAGTTTTCAGTTTCTTGGTATAAATATCCTCCAGATAGTTGTACTAAATTAATTTTGATGTCCTTGGTGTATAACTCCTATTTTCAACTGTCACTTCTGCTCATTCTATTTTTTTTAGGCTAATTCACTAGGAGTAGACAGGTTTGCCTATTGTCTGGTTTACACTCCTCCTTGGTTATCCCTTGTTTCCAGTTCCTTCTAAAGTCTTTTTATTCTCTTTCACGCTCAGTAGCCCCTTGTATTTTAATGGTATTATCGCCTTGCTTGGGGTGAAATGATTATAGTTAGTTTTTTCTTCTTACTTTTGTTAACTATCTTGTTTAATAGTTCTTTTAGTTTACCTTTTGATTCTGCCATCAACAGTGTCATCTGCATAGCATTATATTGCTAAGGTTACATCTTCTGCTGATAAACTATGGTAGGTCCTCTAATTTTCTTGGAATAATCTCACTAAATTCCATGACTATACATCCTTGTCACACTCCTCTTTCTATTTTGGTGTACTCACTTAGTTGTGTATTCACATACAAGTCATTTGTTTTCAATACAGATTGTGGATTTTTTTGTATGTTCTTTTTGTGTAGACCAAGCTATCCTCACATTTCAAGTTCTTTGTAGTGTTGTATTTTATTGAATGCCTTTGTTTCATCTATGAATCACAAGTATAGGTCTTCTTTCTTTTCTCTTGCTCATTTTGAGAGTATTCTGACCATGAATAGAGCATTTAATATTCTATCAAAGATGCATTTACTTCTGGCTTAATTCTGCTCTGAGCTCTAGTCTCTCTTACTATAATTTCTTATCCTTTAGTCTTTTTCTTTTCCTTGTGTCACTTAATGTTCTCTCTTTTTTTTTAGTATTTCTTTGCTTTCTTCAGTTCAGTGAATGACTCAACAGTGTTACTGATGAGTGCACCAGTAGGATTTCTACTGTACTATTTTCAAAACCCATTATTCAAAATTAGAAATGGAAAAGCAGACTTTATATATACACATTTTATACCTATAACAGGTTCATTTTGGATCTAGTTGCAGTAGATAAGTATTAAGAATGAGCATTATAGATGCACTTATATATTTAACTAGGCTTATGGCCACATCAGGTTAAAATGCCGGTTCCCATATGAAAGTTAAGCAATGTCAAGCCTGGTCAGTACCTTGATGGGTGACCACTTGGGAATACCAGGTGCTATAAGCTTGGATGTGTTGATGGTGTAATGGATAATGGCACAGGATTGTTAATCGGAGAGCAGAGTTCCAATTCCAGTTGGGTTAGTTACATTCACTTACATGTAAATACCTTTTTCCCCTCCATCTATGATTTAATTAGTAAGACTTGTATCACTAAATCATTATCTCCAAGAAAAAAATTCTTTCAATCTAAAAATATTTTCTGGCTTAAATAACCTGCAAATGGTTGATGAGCCATAGAAAATGATTTGAGCAGTATATTTAACTAGTATAGTACCCATAAAAATAATGGTATTATTTATATATGGCTAAATTATACAAATATCCACATCTATTAAATGCAATATGAATCCATATACACATTTTTTATTTTTTTAATCATTTCACCTCAAGCAAGGCAATAAAGTCACTAAAACACAAAAGTTTATTGAGAGTGAAAGAAAATGAGAAAACACTAGTGAAGACAAAGGATAATGAAAAAAATAAAAATAAACACGATTCAAAAATGTTTGATGGTACATTTCTAATTTTTAAAGATTATAGTTGACAGGGAAGCAGGAAGCTGAAAGAGTTCCATAGTCAAGAAACCTTAGTTGAACAAAGAAGTTTTAACAGCTTATATAAAGATGTTAAATATTTTTAAATCTATTTTACAGCCTTAAATTTAGTTTTTTTCTTTTTTATGTGCCATGTCCTTTCAGGACATAGACGATCATGTCTCTCCACTTCTTCCTATCCCTTGAAGCTCTCAACAAGTTCCTTTCCTCTGCTATCTCCCTCAGACCACGTTCTGTCATCCACCTGCTCAAGCCCACCAGGAATGTCACATGCTGCTTTCCTTCTATTTGATTCATGAGTATCAGATTTTCAAGGCCCTCCTTTCTCCATTATGTGTCCCAGAAACTTCAACTACCTCTTCCTGATGTTAAGCATGAGCCTCCTCCTTGTTCGCATCCTTTCCAAGATCTCATCATTGCTTACACACACTCGGTCCATGAAATCCTCAGCATCCTTCTGTAAAACTACATCTCCGATGCCTTGAGTCTTTTCTTCATCCTTGAGGAAATCATCCAGCATTCACTGCTGTAAAGGAGGACAGATGTCACGTAACAGCTCAGTATGATTATATACGTTACCTTCATTAAATAAACATTTGCAATGGCATGTGCAACTGTTTTATTCAATGACTTTTTTTAATTATCAGAAAGTAGAAATTATTGCTTATTTAGTTAGTAGTCACTTATATGAAAATGCTCTAAAAATGATTTTTATCATCATCATAATTATTTTTCTTCAAAATGTAACACAAATACTAGGAACCGACATTTCAGAATATCTTAACCTTTAGCATGCTGGAATGCAAAAATTGTCACCATAGAATTCTCTCCCTTTGCACACTGTAGGTGCTTTCCGTTGCTTTGTGAGGGTTGCTATAAATAAACACTTGTCAACTGTTATTTCTGGAAATAACAGTTGACAAGTGTTTATTTATAGCAACCCTCTTGAGACGATGGAATATGCCTACAGTGTGCAAAGGGAGAGAATTCTATGGTGACAATTTCTGCCTCCAACATCCTAAAGATTAAAAATATCAACAGGCAGTGTAGTTTTCATAAAGATTTGTAAGCACATTCACAGTAGGGGAAGCTTTAAAAAACCAAATTCTTAAGGTTCATGACATTAACTTTAAAAATGTATTTTATTAAAAAACTAAGTTTGAGCTAGAATAATTATGATAATGTTATTTATGCCTCTGGCATAATTTCTGAGATGAGAGGCATTATCAGTTATTATTAACCTTTGAGCAGTATTTCTTTTTTTTATCTTGGTTGCTCTTGATTCTAATTCCAAGATTAAATCTAATGATCATAGAAAGACAAAATAGGATTTCCAGTGTATTTAAAAATGGCAGCATATCAGTGTTTAAGAAAATAAATATTTAAATGACTGCAACCAGTAGTCTTCATTGCCTAATAAGTAAAGCAGCTGCCACTTTTAAACGGGCACCCAAAATTAAGACATGTAAGTTTAATTTAAAAGATTATGTTCTAAAGTATTTTTAAGATAAATTGATGTTTTTTGAATTAAAAATAGTAGAAGAATATTATTCTTAACATAATACTGAAGAAAAATAAAAATGACAGGACTATTTACATGTGGCTAATCATATCAGCCTACAGTCAATGTGTTACTCTGTAGACTTCTGCAGAGGAATAAAGTATAATCTCTATGCATTCTGTGAAAAGTGATACACATAAAAATTATATACTGGGAGGGAGAGGAGGTTATTGCCGTTGCTTTTGAGCAAAACAGAGCTTGATGAACTCTTCATTGTCTCTGTTATTTTATTGCTTGTTTCTAATTTAATATTAATGGAAATGGGATCAGGATGTTATGAGTTTTATAACTTGTAACAACTGAAATGAGCATAAAACAAATGCTTTTTAAGCATTTCAAACTTTGGAAAGAATCAATTTTTGCCAACAAAAAGAGAATTTCACACACACATGTCGACTCCAAAAATGAATAGCTCCAATTCTATTATGTTGAGCCCAATATCAAAAGTGAATGCTGGAGGTATGAAAATGAAGGTTGGACCCTGCTGTCAGTAATTCACATTTCAACCCTGGTTACAGATAGCAACTGAGTGGCATTCTGGCAAAGTGCAATCTGACATGAGAATGTATATGAGGCAGAAATAATTCATTGAATTAAAATCATACTCATTAATTTTACCCAATGCTTGATGAACATTTACAAGACCAAGAAGTGAATGTGGACACAGTTAAACCATATTGGTGACAGTGGTGTGTGTAACAAGCCACATTCTCACCAGCAAAACACTGCTGTCAACCTATGAAATCTACAAATAACTAAGTCACTTTAGTAGCTTTCAAAGAAGCAAGAAATAAGTAGACAAAATAATTAAAATGAAACAATATTTCTATGAATTTGTTAATCTGGTAGTGTTTGTTCTTGTCTTCTTTATTCTCTTAACTTTGTCATTTCTAATAACAATTAGAAATAATGTTTATTTCTTTAAAAACAAATTACATGCCTTGATTCAATTGCTCAACTTGGACATAGTCCTACACTAGTTTACTCCTGCTTAAATAAATGGGTAAAATTAGTTTCGAATATTATTTGCTTAATTTCTTTTAATATTTTTTAATGTTTGTAAATAGCTTTATGAATCTCTGATATTTTGATTTGTAAGATTTATTGATGTTAAACACATTTAAAACAATGAAAACTAAATTTAATATTTTTGAATTTTTATTATATTTTATTTTAACAACACAACCATGTAAATAGTTTTTTCATATAAACTCAAAGTATTCCCTAATCCAGAAAAATTAATGAAGATAAAAGTAAGCAAAAAAATATATATTAAATTTGAAATGTTTTCTTTGAAAACAAAGTCTATTATTCGTTTCGTCTATTAAAAAAAAAAAACAAAACTTAGAAATTCAAATATATCTGCAATTTTTCAGTTGTCTTTTGGCAGACTTATAAAATTTTGAATACATCCTTGTCAATATAGTGGGGATATGGCTACATAACATTGAAACACTAAAGTTAAGCAACATCTAACCTGGTCAGTACCTAGATGGATGACCACTTTGAAATACCAGGTGCTGTAGGCTTGGATGTGTGGGTGGTGTAATGGATAATGGCTCAGAATTGGAAAATGAGAGTTCCAATTCCTGTTGGGTTTGTTATATTCATAAATACCCTTGAGAAGGTTATGAATCCACTTCATTAGTAGAACTTGTATTCAGTCAGTCATGTCCCATGTGTGATACATGCTTAGGCGATCATCTATCTTTTGATACCTGACTGATGAGGCAGATTTTTTCCTGCAGTAGGTTGCCATTTCTTTCTGCGGTAGACCAGTTGCCATCAAAGGCTATAGAATCCAGTCTGTCCTGCTATTTACTCATAGCTGGGGGGAGAAGAAGAGGATTCATACCTTTCCCAAGGGTATTAACATGTAAGTGAATGGAATGGATTTGACTGGAATTTGAACTTGGCTCTCCAATTCCTCATTCCAAGCTGCTATCCATTATTCCACCATCCTCAAAAAATTCTTAAAATATGAAAATATTTTCTGGCTTTAAATAACCTGTAAAACATTGATAAACCATTGAAGCAGAAGTACCAAACCGAATGTGATCAACCCATGAAGACCCCAATGGCAGAATAGGCAAAGATCTACATGATCTTAATGGCCAAACCAGTGGAACAGATTAGCACCAGTTGGGCTGGTGTAACCAAGGAGGACCTTGTTGACAGACCAAGCATCTGACAACCTGATGTAACCAGGTTTGCCAAATCTCACCTGTCTTAATCCCCTTTGAGGTAGGTGATTCTGGCCAAGTGTGTGAGCTTCTTCATCATGTAGAGTTGTCCACCAAAATCAAATTCATGTGAATTGCCTCGTAAAATTCTCTGCCACAGCCACGAGAGGGTAAAAGGTAATATGGAGAGAGGATGATCCTAATGCTCGGATGCCAATGGGTACCAACAACAATTACAAATCACACATTTAATGAAACAAAAAAAATTCTTGTCATATGTTCTGCAATTTGCACTGTTTAAAAATAATGTAAATTTTAAAAGAGAAAAACATATTTTTAATGCAGCATTTTTTTTATAACTTAGGCATGGAATCATTTTGTCAATTTTTATATTCATGCCAACATACCAAACTTGCATTTAATATTACAGTATTATGGAGTTAGACATGGTACAAATATTGATAATCTATAACATCTGGGTAAACATTTGTCTACCAGATATTTTGACTTCTCATTTAAGACACAGGAGATTTTCATTTATTAATTTAGACATACTTTTTGAACAAAATTCTGGTTTTATGTACTATCAGCTATGGTAACAAAAGGTTTTGTTTCTAATAAGTGAATGCATACACAATATTCTTCCTTTGGTGAGGTTTGAATTTACTAGTAAATTTCAGCAACTGTTCAGTATTAATTTTTCAAACTGGTTTATATGTCAATTTTGATACTTTGGTGAGAGGTTCATGCGCACTTGAACATTAATGGCCTCATATTGAATTTGTTTTAGGCACCAATATTCAGAGAACTTAAAACGATTATTTGGTTACTTATTTTAGCACATCATTTTACTTATAATTATTGACATGTGATATAAACAATAGACAATGCATTATTTAAACAAATTAACCATAAGTAATCAACAGTATCTTTTTATAGTCATTTGTCACTTATTGCCAATTTTTCTTTACATTTATATAAATAGCAAAGTCATCATTCTAAGTAATGCAGTTAATCAAAATAAGTGCTGCATAATTTGTTATTTTATGATAGAAAGTGTCAGGGAGGTAACCTCTTATACTTCTGTTATTGAAATTAGATGTAAATTAGAAAAATGGTTACCTGTCAATCCAAGAAACTTAATCTTTATCACTCTGTATATGACTTCATTTACTGTACAAAAAGTTTATCCTGCCAATGAAGGTGACTTTGATCAATAGTGTGTTTGAATTTCATAGTTGTGCTGTCATATCCTGCTATGGCAACAGAAAACAACTTTAAGTGAAATTAACAGTAGGGATACTGCAATTGAGAGGCCTTGAAAAAGAATGCAGTGGAAAGGGAAGTAATATTAATAATGCCTTTTGCTAAAGGTTAAAGGATAAACAATAGGGCATATTGATTAAAGATGAAAAATATTTCAAAAAATAAAATTTGAATGTATATAAATTTATTTGTAACAAAAATGTAAAGAGCATAATTTCATTTTCATTGTGAACTATAAGTGAATCTCTTCTGTGTTTGTAGCCAGCCTGGAGGCTTGAAATTTCTTGCAAAAGAAGTTTTAGGTATCGATCTGCCCAAGGATCCCAAGGACCAGTGTAGTGATTGGGAAGCAATAAATCTTTTGCAAACTCAGGTGAATATTTTTATGACATTTCAGCACGTCTTTCCCATTAATATTTTTTTTCACCTTTTGATTTTATTTTTGTATATCAAAAGAATAGTTAAAACTGTACACATATACAAGGGTATGCGGAAAATTTCGGTAAATTTGCTTTTTAAGCCCCGCACTAAATATTTATTAAAATTTTCCTAAATCATCATATTTCCATGTAAGAAAAGGCAAGAAGTGCAATTCATATCATCATGTATGAAAGATAACCCTAGACTTTTTTTTTTTAGTAATTTTATTATGGAATACTGATAATAGTATATTTGAAAGTAATGTTTTTTTTTTTTTTTTTTTTTTTCTTTCAATTCACTTGTATCCAAAAACCAAACAAATATTTTTACTCAATAGATAATTTTTTACTATCTTGGGAACAGGATAGATTTAAAGTGCTAAAGTTAAAAAATTTCTTGTCATTCATTTCAGAACATTTTTTTGAGTTTTTCCCCTCTGGACATAGATATTCATGGCTCTCTACAACTTCCTGTCTCTTGTAGCTCTTAATAAACTTTGTCTTTCTGTTTTTTTTTTCTAAACCGTGTTCCCTCATCCATTTACTCAAGCTCACTAAATATGTTATGCATTGTTTTCCTTTGTCCCCCCCTTGCTCCCCCTCTGTCCTATGTGTATCAAATTTATCAAGCCCTCTTTCCTCATTATGTGCCTCAGAAATCTCAACTATCTTTTCCTGATGTTAAGTATTAATTTCTTTTTTGTTTCCATTTTCTCACATGTTCTGACTCTATTGACTTCACCTTTTATGAATTGACATCAGTTCCTATCCAAAATATTGTTAGATTAAGAAAACCCAACACAAAGAATTTTCTCATGAGATATCTTGTCAGCTACTGTTGAGTGGTTAAATAAATTTCTTGAATATAGATTTCAGCTGCAAAATTTGTGTTTACTATGTATTCTTGGTGACAGTTATTCATAAATGTTTTTATTATTTAGTGTATAAGTAGCACCGCAATATTTTAAAACCAACCTTTTTTTTTATTCTTTCCCCTTCTTATTGTTTTCTGTGACTTTATTTTTAGGTTCTACTATGCAAAAAATACCAAATGGTAAAATGCATTATTCATATTTTTTCTATGTATTAGATGAGAGCTGAGTAAAAAAGATTATTGTTTATAATCATTTCACTCCAAGCAAGATGATAATGCCACTAAAATGCAAGGCGTTACTGGGACTGAAAGAAAATGAGAAGACTTTAGTGAAGAGAAAGGATGTTAAAAGAATAGGATTCAGGATGACAGAAGATGGCAATTGGCATTGCATTTACATTTTTGATGATTGTAAGTAGAAGGGAAGTAAGAAACCAGAAGAGAGTTCACAGGTGAGAAGTGCAAGAAAAGGAACTATTACAATAGAACCTACAGTTGCATCTAGCTAGTTTAACACTAAAGTAGTGAAACCTAGTTGCCAATCTAGTATTACACTTAAATTTATGCTCATCAGAACAATTTCCATGGAAATATTTGAGAGAAGCCATGGTAGTGGGAAAGTGACTGCAGATGAGATGCCAAGTTAGGATCAATTACATTACAAACCTTTCTTTGGATATATATATACTTAATTTTTTTCTATGAGGTATTTTAATTTGGAATTATGATATCCACTTATTTTGAATAGATCAAATATGCAATTGTTTAAAAAAAAAAAAGAAAGAAATCCTTTTGATTTTCAGAAACAGTTAATTAACATTAATTATTTGGAACTTTATATATTACTTCTATTTGTTTCTAGATTTGGTTTGATTATCTTAAAGCCAATGTCTGTACAGAGATGACCTCTACATCTAAATCAAAATACAATGCTTAAACTGCAGACTCAGATGTTCTTTTTCCAGTTTATGCTTGTTTCTCAAAGTTATTAGATTCAGACAATAAAATGTGTGACTACTGCACATCAGTACAAATGCAAAAAGAAGCCTCAGATTGCATACAGACATGTTTGTCAACACCAGTTACATCAAGCAGATGGGGAAGGAAACCATAGAGTGTAGCAGGAAGATCCTACCTGGTGTGTAAATGGATCTGAAATCAATGTATGAGTTGATGCAAGCTCCTTAGCTACAGGAATGGTGCTGGAAAAAGATGGGGCAATGTTGGAGTATGCATACTAGCTTCGGCCAACAAATGACACCCAGCATATCAATTTGGCTGAACAGGATGCTGCAATCAAAATGTGGCAAATGTGTGTCAGTACAGATGCAAAAGAGGCCTTGGATCACATGCAGACATGTTTGTCAACACCAGTTACATCCAGGTTTTTCCCATTAACAGAGGGACATTTTGGCATAACTAGCTAGATACAGACATCTCTGCAACTGGTCAAGATCCAGGTGTGTAAGATGTCTTATGCCAATAAAAACTGGGGTAAAACAGCGGTCCCTAGTTGGCAAGATACAGTGTTTTGTGAAGTCACCCTATTATCCATGTAGTTGTTGGGTGAGCAATTGGTTAGGTGTCCCCACCCCCAATCTCAACAGACTCTTTGCTTACATTACAACAAAATGTTAATTTTATTTTGTTGCATATAAATCTTTAACTTTTCCAATTTGGGTTCCATGATACCGTCCTTATACATTAAGTTAGAATTTATATAAAATCTACTGTTGATTGTTAGTTACTAAACTGGTACACCCATTTCAATGTATTGCAGTTGTTCTTAGCAACCTGGTAAGATGAAAAATAAGACCTATCAAAAGAAGGAATAACATCCAGCAAGCTAGAGGTTGTGTCTCAATAAAATTGGAGAAAGTAATGGGAAACTACTCCACTATCCATCCCACAAACATGTGTCTTCATATGTGGATGAGATGACCACACCCAATTGTAGTGAAGGCATTTCATCTAGGAGAAGGCAAACTCATATAAAAACCAAATGGCATGATAGAGCTCAATCTTAATGGTCATCTATTTAGGAGAAGGAAACTCTGATATAAAATCAACCTTTTTGACCTGATGAGAATCCTTAAAAATATAACTAAATACTGCATTGTCCATTACCTGCGTTACATCAGGCAGAAATTGAAAATCTGCTACTACTAATCAGTTTACCTTACCTATTAACATCAACTAAAAAATTAACTACAAAATCCAAACTTAAAAAATTTTTCAAATGGAAAATAGGATAAATCAACGTCCAGTCAGATGATTTCGGGGTGCACTTTCTTTGAGAAGAATGTAAGAAAGCAAACCTTGATACAAGAAGTGTGTCAACTTGGATGCGACTCTATTGTGCATTTGGGATACAATTTTTTGGGACTGGTTACAAGGAGAAAAGATAACATGGAATTGGAATTGCAATATGCAAATCACCAAATATTGTAATAGATGATATTGTACATCAGCCAGAAAGACTTATGACTCCCAAAATTTTTGTTCATAGCTGTAAGAACCGAGAGATATTAACTTATGCTCCAACTGAAAAAAGTACTGTCTCAGAAAAGGAGAAACTCTATGCAGGATTGAGTAAAATTTGTTTAGTCAAAAAAAAAAAAAAAGAAAATAGTGCGTAAATGGGGATTTTAATCTTACCTCAAGTGCTTGTAAACACTATTGCTCCTTTGATGATATAAAGACATCACCCTTTGAAACGGAAGCCTCAAACAGCAATAGAGAACTCTTGCTAAACTTTTGTTACTTAAAAATAAACTCCATCGTTAACACATGGTTTGATCATCCCATGAAACACTGCATCACATTGTATAGTCCAAATAATGTAACAAAAAAGATTGACTTCTGCATCTCAGACTCTTGGATTAGTTAGTTTGTGACAGATGTTAAAGTATACAACTATTTTGAATCAGATCACAGAATACTTTTAAATAAACTAACAACACCAGCCAACAAAAGAGCTTGTTTCCACCTAAATAACCAAGAAAAACACTGAGGTGTAACAAACATCCAATTTCTTAAAAATGAAAGGGTATATGTAGAATTTAGTAATAAACTAGAGATAAAGTGATGTCAGTAAATCTTGATTAAAATATAGAGGGATCAAATAATGTTATCATATTGTCATTAACTAATGCACATGAGATTATTCCAAGAATACCTAGAAGCAAAAAGATACATCCATGAAATGACAATCCTGAATTGAAGAAATTGATACAAGAAAGTAACAAACAGAACAAGGAAAAAAATGTCAGAGAAAATACTAAACAAACAAAGAAATTAAAAAAAAACTAGTTAATTCTTCAAGAAACCAGTATCTTTGGAAAATTGAAAATGATATTGGTGAAGCCAAGTGGCATAGACAATGTGTTAAAATGTGGAGAAAAGTGAAAAATCAAAATAATGTCATACAAGCAAAACCTCCACAGAAGAAATGTCCTGGTCTCCAAAAACACTTTGAATCACATTTCAACCTTGACCACACTAAATGTTGGATACCCACGGAAATAAAACATATATCAATATTCATCCAATCATTACAACAATAATACATTATGTAAAGAATAACAAACTGCTGATGAGAAAATTAAGAAATCATCATAATCAGAAATGCATCTCCAAGAAGTACATTATGGAAACAGAAAGATAGCCCTCAAGACCCTCACACATACAGAGGCATTTCAGTTGGATCCATTATGGTGAAAGTATAAATGAACATATTAACTAGGTTCTCACCAGGATACAAAAAAGAGAATAGAGTATTCCAACAAAAAGCATGCCATTAGGAAGGGAGAAATAGAATGTGTCCCAGAGTTATTAGGATACCAACACACTTGCAGTATTTGTGGAAAAGTCACCCTCTTGGCAGATGGTTTTGCCAATCACATGTGATCAAACTGAGAAGTCAGATGCAAACTCCTGTGAATGCAATCCTAAACATCTGCAGGTTACTTGTGTGTGTTTTGGGACAAGTTTTGTGTTGTGTCGGAAACCTACCACCCCTCTTGAAGACGAACTTGTCTGCATCTGTGAACAAAGACTTTAAATAGTGGCATGTCAGTT